TATAGCCACATTGTTACCATTCAATTTGTCTTGAATTCCTTCGTCTAAGCAGGGCTAATCGTGTATACGCTAATAGCTGGGTGTGCTGGGAGCGCTGTTGTGGTGACAATCGGATTACACTCTCATCTTCCCTTCCTTCTCTTTTAGTGGGGCAATGAGGCGATTCAGGCCATCGGTCCTTCTGGCAACTGTGAGAAAGATATCGGTTGTGGTAGAGATGAAAAAAGCTCAACAAGTCCCACGGAGGGTTGTGATCACTTTTTTGGACCATTTCGTCTTGCAAATCTGCATGGAAGACAAGTGATGCAGGTTGGCCCATCATTCGCTTATTTCTGAGTGTCTGCTTGTCCTTGTGCCCGGCAAGGTAGAGCAAGCCTGACGGGTAAAAGCACTGGTAGCACAATCCGGTTACTGAGGCCATAGTCTCATACATCGTTACCTCCAGTCCTCCATAATGACCACCCCTAAGCCGCGTTTTAACCTACATTCTGCTTTACTTGCAAACAGTTTGGCCACCGAAGGTGAGGCCGGTATTACAGACTCTTGATAATTGGGTCTTCAATGACGCCAATGCTGCTGTGGCCAAGGGAGGGTTCTACTGCCATGCTACAGTTTATGCCCATGTGCTTTGATTACGACAGCCAAAAAAGGCTGCTTATCCCCTAGGAACTACCTGAGGTATAACTTAAAGCTAGCCTAGCTTTGGAGCCCAACATCCAGCCATGAAATCTAAGCCATAAGTAATTATATTAGTTGCAATGCCTCTGCTGAAGTTACGCGCAATGACCAAATCAATCCGAGTGCTTCGCTAGGAAGATTGCTGCCACTTTAGGCGAAGTTATAGAAGATAATAGGCCAAAATCTCTACTCTAACTGCCCAAACGATGACACATTTTTATGCATAATCTTTATATTTCTCACTTCGATTGTAGCTATCAGGCACTTGTCAGCCGTTATACAAACTTTTTATTTGATGTTTTAGAGAAAAGTGATGAGTTTACTCACGGTGGATTGAAAAGAGGCGTAATTTTGTACTGACCTCTCTTACGCTATGCATCTTAAACGGTCGCTTCATCTCATCAGAACGACTCAAACTGGGTTCTTATTTGTTGAGCTTACTTCCATTTTGAGTGAAAGTGTTGAGTGAAGAGAGTCGTAGGTCGGTAAAGCCAATCGACAGCTGGTCAAGAGGAATCCGCCATCGTCTTCTGGTGGAACCGACCTTCGAATCTC